TGGAGTAGACGTCACAGTTACGTCACTTGCAGCTGCGTGTGCATGGTGGTGGCAGAAAAACACTGGGAAAAAATGGAGGGAGATGGGTAAAATCCATGGAATAAGAGAAAAAATGTATTGTTGTGCCTTTGGAAGTCAGAATCAGAATGCAAATAATTTTTATATAATACTGTTGTCAAAGACGCCATTTGAAGCTAAATGCAGACGTTTAAACGGACAGACTGTGGATGAAACCTGCTATGATTGCCCTATTTTATAAATTTGATTCAAACAATAGGTCTATATAATATTCATATAGGGGACATATTGTATTAGCCCTACAGTTGAAATACATGCATGAAATACTATTTAAACCTATAACGTTTTATATAACATTTACCTATTTTATCTAACAATTCTGACTTTTTTTCTTTGCAAATGCAAGTTTATATCTCCTAGTTCGGACTTTATAACTTTATTCAAGTCAACAATTGCGAGTTTGTCAATTCTGAGGGAAAAAAACCAGAAGTGTGGGATTATAAACTAAAAAGAAAGAATTATGAGCTGATTTTTCTTACCAGAATTGTGAGATCTTGGAATTGCAAAGTCAGAATTTTGAAATATAAACTCAAAATTAAATGTTTTATTCTTTTATTCCATGGCTTGAATAGACTGCTATGTTAAAACTGTAATTTGCTATCATATATTATGCTTTCAAAATGCTCTCGAGGTATTTTGATGTCATACACCGATCGGTCTGCACATGCAAAAAAAGCCAAAACCTAGATATTTTAGGCAATATAGAAATCCTGGCCAGGACACGTCCTGGGAAAATGGCACGTATGGTCACCCTACTATTGATTCAGAATAAAATCCCTTCATTACACTGTTCAAATGTAATGTAGATAAACATTGTACCAACCACATTTGTGTGGTTATTTTTTGGCTGTTAAAAGTATAAAACCATCATCAACAACAATACTACTGTGTTGAGTCGCTGCTTGATGTCCAATATAACATCTGATTCAGATCAGCAGCCCTTCTTTCCCCACAATATGTCTATAATTTAAAGAACACAAATTTCAAATGAAAACATATATGTTGATTGATAGTTGGAATGTCCACTAACCCAGCTCTGGAGAAAGGTCCAGCTTGGGAGTCTCCACTGCATGTCCTTTGCGGACTTGACTGCCATCTCTGTGCAGGATTGCCGGGCCACGGGTGAAACGAGGCTGAAAACGGTGCTGCCCCTGGATGGGCACATTTTTAAAGGACAAACGGCTTTCCCGGCTGAGGTTGAAATACAGGAATAGTAGAATCGACCAGGTCACAGAGGTGAAGAGGCAACCATAGCAAAAGTAGCGCAGAGTGACGCTGCCCATGGTAACGCTAGCATCCTTGGTTGGCCATTAGTAGGCCCCTGAAAAACAACGACAGTTAAGAAATTAAGTAAAAGTTCAAAAGGATATGAAATCCTTTATGGATATTAGGGGTGTAACTGAATACTTAGGACCATGTGATATTTCAGTTTTTCTTTTTTAATAAATCTGCAAAAATGTCAACAATTCTGTGTTTTTCTGTCAATATGGGGTGCTGTGTGTACATTAATGAGGAAAAAAAATAACTTAAATGATTTTAGCAAATGGCTGCAATATAACAAAGAGTGAACAATTTAAGGGGGTCTGAATACTTTCCGTACCCACTGTATATAACAGTCCTAGGTATTAATGTTCTGCGTTTCTGTTTTGAGCTGCGTGCCCTGAAGATCACCAGTAGGGAGACCGGGTATGGATGTAACGCTTTTTTTAACTCACTGAATTTTTGAGCTAGAGTGCTCAAACTTTTATAAAAAGCACCCACATTTGTTTACTACAAAAGGAACCAATTCAAACCTCTGCAAGAATATCACAGCCCTTTTAAGGCTGCCGGGGTATGTTGTAACACATGCTGGGGTAAGTTGTTACAATTAGACAAAAGAAGCAAAAACAGCAGCCACACCATGAAGTATGCTTCAAAAACAGGTTTATTGAAACAATGTCTCACACTTTGTGACTGAGCACAGCTCAAATCCACTTTCTGTGGTGTGTGTGTGTGTGTGAGTGTGTGTGAATTAGACTACTATAACAAACTCCCTTAACGGTATTTATGCTTAATGAATACCCAACTCCAGTGTACCTAGGTAAAGAACATGTAGATCTAACAAAAAAAATGTACATTTGTGTGTGAGATTGTGTCTATGTGTGAATGTTTTCAATCAGAGTCACAATCTAACCTTAGAGAGCAGGTTTGGTCGATCCAGAGACTGCATATGGCACATTTTACCCACTCTTCCTTTGGCTTTGAGCTGTCCAATGGCTCCATTAAGACAACATGAAACTCCTCGGTTGTTTGTAAGGGGATGCTAAGATGTGAACTTACCCCACACCTGTCATCCAGTGTTTATCTAGCTGTATTAGCATAATGGTTTGAAATTAGCATCTTAAAATGCATCCCATTTTGCCTGAGAATCTACAATTTATTCTAATGTAAGTTATATAACTGTATCTGCAACAGTTTAAGTACTAAACAAAATATAGTTTCGGTCAAAACTATTACATTCTTTAACCATTCATATAGGATCTGGGAGAAAGTGGGTAAATAATGAAATTATCATCGGACTCCTTGCTTTATCCCTTATTGGTGGAATTGGTGTTGTTACAACTCTCCTCATGTTACAACCATACCTGGTTTCCCCTACAATGAGGCACTTTGATAGCTGGTTTTAATCAATCAGGACTTAACTCATCAGATTTATCTCATATAGGATACCCTTCATTATTTATACTACATAAGCTTAATATCACAACTGTACAAAATGACCTGAATGCACAAGTGAACGTGTTTGTGCTGCTCTGAATGTGTAACTCCTGTTGTGAACGCGTTCTTCATGCAACACGGCAACTAAACTCTAAAAACCCTAAAAGTGTTTTATTATAATAGTGTCCTCATTATAATGATATGTATATGCCAATCCCTGTCATAGTTATTAATATTCTGCATTGTTGTTTGTGCTGCTCGTGATGAGCACTTAAGAGCTAATCACCGTAGTAGGCCGTTAAAAAAAGTGTAACGCAACCAAATGCATCTAAAATAATATATAGGCTACACAATATACATATATACAAAATATTGCAACTTACACTTCAACAAAAGGCTGTGAGTGGCTGCACTAGGCATGAAGATATAACTCTGTGGACGCATTCCTTCCATAACAACTCACTGAAACATGGCTTATTCTTTTACAGTCGTGTTCTCATTATAATTTTATGTAGCCTATATGACAGATTTGTTCTGCACATGTTGCCCTTAAAGGTGCCTTCCTTTTCAAAGTGATTCAAGCAATTCAAAACCATCATGGCCGTACGTGTTTGAAGTGTCTCAGCATGTTGGCCAAGATAGTATCGCGGTACGCCATGAGAGTACGCGTATCTCGGTCTTTCTGTTCGGTCGGTTTGAATATCTTTACACCCCTAGTTGGTATCAGATTGTTTGGACAGATATGGTGGCACACTGTACTGTACATTGTGGTAGATATATTTGTGCAGCTATCATTATTTACACCACTATCCAAATGTTTGGGATCAATACGTTTTTTTTTTAAAGAAGTCTTTCTCACCAAGGCTGCATTTCTTTGTTCAAATATATATATATATATACACCAAAAACACTGACACCCTTAGAAACTAAAAAGGAAAAAAAAAAAGAAAGAAAAAAAGACATTGCTGCATTTTTTTTTTTTTAGTAAAGAAAATTGTTATATGGGATAAAAAACCATCATGGCCGTACGTGTTTGAAGTGTCTCAGCATGTTGGCCAAGATAGTATCGCGGTACGCCATGAGAGTACGCGTATCTCGGTCTTTCTGTTCGGTCGGTTTGAATATCGTTATATGGTGGCACACTGTACTGTACATTGTGGTAGATATATTTGTGCAGCTATCATTATTTACACCACTATCCAAATGTTTGGGATCAATACGTTTTAGTTTTTTTTTTTTAAAGAAGTCTCTTTCTCATCAAGGCTGCATTTCTTTGTTCAAAAATATATACATACACCAAAAACACTGACACCCTTAGAAACTAAAAAGGAAAAAAAAAAAGAAAGAAAAAAAGACATTGCTGCATTTTTTTTTTTTTAGTAAAGAAAATTGTTATATGGGATATGTAGGCCTATATGAGAAACCGAGAACTGACCTCTGTATTTCAAAAGCATAAGTCAATCATTAACATGCACTTTGCACAACATTTTAAGCCATATCAGACAACAAATCCGAGTAGAAATAAATCAATTTATAGTTTAGTCTCATTGTACTGCATCACAGGAATGTCAAAGCCGTGTCATTCTTCAAACCCATCCAGACAGCCAGGATCCTCAGTAACATGAGAACCCATTCGAAATCTGAAACCAGTGAATGCAATCATATGGAATTACAGCAGCGCTCTTGAGAATGTTTAATTTATGCTTGGGTCCTAAAAGCCAGCTCACCATATTCAATAATACATAATCTTGCTGTGTCATCCACCTGACATTACATAAATGCAAGGATTGCAGTATTTGTAATAATTCAATCTAATCTAACTAATTATAGACCAACATGTTGGCCAGGCCAATTTATCAGCCGATGTTTGGCCATTTTCAGGTTATCATCATCATCTGATAAACATGCACACTTATGTGAATGTTCGATGATTTGAGATAGAACCAGAAGTTACCGTAAGGGCTGTAGTCCAAAATCGGACAAAATTTATAGTGCACATTTTTTTGTGAGCACTGTGAATTTAAAGTAAATATTGTGCAGAATTAGTTTTCCAACCATATGCATGGTTTAATAATCTCTCCAAAACAGGACTGAGTCAGGTCTAAAAACTAATCAGCTCAGAAGTGATTAATCAAGCTCAAGTCAAGTGAAGTTTTTAGGGCATTTCGTTGGTGTATATACTGAAGACATCCGTTTGCTTGGATATGAACATTATGACAGTTATGACCAGTGTTGGGGGTAATGCATAACAAGTAACGCAAGTTACATAATCAGATTACTATTTTCAAGTAACTAGTAAAGTAACGCATTACTTTTTAATTTAGAAGAGAATATCTGGACAGAAGTCAAACAATTCACCCATACATTTATCTTTAGACATCAGACACGCAAAAGCGAATAGTGGGCTTTGTCTCAAACTAGTGAGCTGTCTACAGTATACAGACAACATCATAGATTGTCTCAACAAACTAGTGAGCTATCCATCTAGGCAGCATTTCTGGATTCGATATCATCAGACGACCTTTATCACACATAACATACGTCAAAGAATCACAGGTTGTTTCTAAAAAAACTAAAGAGGTTTCTAAATAGCGCCTATGGTGGCCCAATACACTGTTGACTCGGAACGCACCAAAACCCCTGTTAAAGTAATAAATAAAAATAAAGCCCCTCCGACACCCAAGCATGATGTCTATGTAGGCGTCTCACTAGGACGCAGGCATTATGAGCTACGCAGCTAACTCGCTAGCTGCACTGAATGAACAATAATTGCTATGTTGTAACCTGGCACTGATCTAAACATCTCTAAAACGTTTAATATCTGGTAATATTGTCAGTGTGGTACAGTAACTCACTCGCTGATGAAGAGGTCTTTCACAGCTCCATTCCTCTCCTGAGCTCAGTGCTGCTGTCTATGGCAAGCCGTTTTATCTTAAAATAATCCCAGTTCTTACTGGTAAAAACTCAATTAGAGAGCTCTCTAATTGGAATTGTTACTAGTAAGAATTCAACTGTAGAGCTCTCTAATTGTAATACTTACTAGTAAAATGTAAAATTGTAGAGCTCTGTAATTAAAAATGAATGGAAGTCAATAGAAACATACGACTAGTAAAAATTCATTTGTAGAGCTCTCTAATTGAAATTGTTACTAGTAAGAATTGAATTAGAGAGCTCTGTAATTGGAATTATTACTAGTAATAATTGAATTAGAGAGCTCTCTAATCATAATTGTTACTAAGAACTGAATTAGAGAGCTCTCTAACTGGCATTGTTACTAGTAAAAATTCATTTGTAGAGCTCTCTAATTGAAATTGTTACTAGTAAGAATTGAATTAGAGAGCTCTGTAATTGGAATTATTACTAGTAATAATTGAATTAGAGAGCTCTCTAATCATAATTGTTACTAAGAACTGAATTAGAGAGCTCTCTAACTGGCATTGTTACTAGTAAAAAATCATTTGTAGAGCTCTCTAATTGAAATTGTTACTAGTAAGAATTGAATTAGAGAGCTCTGTAATTGGAATTCTTACTAGTAATAATTGAATTAGAGAGCTCTCTAATCATAATTGTTACTAAGAACTGAATTGGAGAGCTCTCTAACTGGAGTTGTTACTAGTAAGAATTTAATTGTAGAGCTCTCTAACCGAATTGTTACTAGTAAAAATGCAATTTCGATGAGTAACACTGGGATTATTTTAAGATAAAATGGCTTGCCATAACTGTCCGTACTCGCTGGTGATGAGAAGCGGTGCCGCGCTGCGCCTGACTGACTCTGTTGCCGCCTGCTGGCCGAGATTCAAAATGGCACCATCTGAACAACGTCGACTGCTGTGCTTTCTTTTTTTTAATGAAAAATAATACTGATAATAATAGTAAAATAAAAATAACTGTATAACAAGTACATAAGCATACATCATTTTTCCCTAAGGGATAGGTACATAACTCATTCCAAAAAAACTTTTACACAAACACATTCGCAAAAGAGATGTACAATTTTCTCTTCTATCAAAGAAAGTAGCATTTTTTTTCTTTTCTCAATATTTTGCATATACTTATTAAGTACAGAATGTCTGCATTATGTGTGTACTTTCTTCTGCACTGGAAGCTCCTGTCGCCAAGTCAAATTCCTTGTGTGTGTAAACATACTTGGTAATAAAGCTCTGATTCAGATTTTTATTCTTCTTTATTATTTTTTCCCCCTTTGTTTGATTGTTATTTCTGCCTGGCCTAGCCACTACCCAGACCATCTTTTTACATTCACCTTTTGGCATTCAAATTCACTGTACTAGAAATGTTGCTTCTTCTTAGATGCGTTAGCTACGGGTGCATCTTTGGTGGTGATTTACGTACAGTGGGGGAAAAAAGTATTTAGTCAGCCAACAATTGTGCAAGTGCAGGTTGGGCACACAGCAAAACATTTGCTCACGTCTTCCTTTCATCAAAAAACCCTTGATCAAAAAACCAAAAAAATGTTTAAGTTATTGTAAGCCATGTGCATACTACTTATAATGGGTACTGTATGTGTTGCAGAAACAAGACAATTTAATCTTTATAAATAAACACAGAGACTTTGATATAGTATCATGCTGAGCTAAATTATTATTGGTTAAATTTAGGATCAAATACCAACTTGGTACAGACATATTAACACTCAACACACAACAATACACTATTAAAGTAAATCTGTAAATATAGTAATTTTACTGTAACACTAATTTCCTGCTCCTGTGAAATAACAGTGTGTAGCCATTTAACTGAAGTCAATTGTAGAACTTCTACCACTAAAATTGCCATGAAAGTATGGAAATGACTGAAATTAGAACTAAAATCTAAATTAAAAAGTGTATGCTACCTTAACATGGCTCTGGTGAACCCCACACCGTTTTCTCTCAGCACTTTCATTATTAGTTAAAAAACTGGATTAGATTTAAAAATAGTAATACAAAATAAATAAAAGGCAAGAAAACAAGAATACAATGTTATTTGTTTATCTTCAAATAAAATAAAGGAGAACACCCAACAACGCGCTGCCCTGACTATCCAGCAGGGAGCACACCATGAATAGCAAATTGTATATACCTGTACCTTTCACAAAATCGAAAGTTTAAGGCCTTAATGGTTACCTGCTAGTGGCTGAAAATAACAATGAAAGAAAAGGTTGAGAGAGAGGTTCAGATATACCCTGCCTTTTTATTTATTTATGTATTTATTTAGAAAGTCTCTTTATTTGATCAAATACAAAACATTATATATATATATATATATATATATATATATATATATATATATATATATATATATAAATTATGATATA